TGAAACGTGGTGATGGGCAACCTAAGTAAGGTAACAAACAAATTAGATAGAAATTTCGGCATTACTTTCAGCTGTCACATTTCGTTCGACTTAATTTATCAAACGTCCAACACGTGCATGACCCAGTCTTAACTTTAGCTATAATTTAGCTATAATTATTAGTAGAGTTGATGTTAGCGCGCGCAGCACTTGCTGACATTTTAAGCGCGAAAGACGCCCTTCGATGCGCTTCTTTCCTGAATAAAAATGGCAACCGCCTTAAGAAATAACGTTAAAGGTTAAAAAACATTCACATATGTACCTGTCCCAGTCCTTCTTTCCGGCGTAGAAATGCATTCTTGATGAGAGTGGGCACCTCCAAGACAGAACAAGGCTCTTCAAGATTTGAATATCCACCACCGACTGACATGAAGGGCCAGACGGCGGCATCATTCGCTCTAAGCTTTTTTGCGAAGTAGTGGTGGATGCCCAAGTAGTACACTTCCTGGGCACAGGCTCGGTCCAGACTGGCGCGAGCTAGAGCCAACGTGGCTCAAGCCTAGCACAAGCGTACGCCAAACTGGCCCAAGTATGAGCCGAGGAAGTCTGCTGCTAGGGTGTGGGCTCCGGAAAAGCGTCTGTTGAAACAGTCCTCCGTACATCACGTCCATTACATATGTACACAAATTCCGACCATAGGCCGATTCTCCGCTCATGATAAAGTATGAACCTTCCGTACCTATCTCGGACACTCTCATGCCGCTCTAATTTTCAAAGGCACTTGGTGAAGTGGCTAGGAGTTATAATCCTTCTGCCGGAGACTGTGGCTTCCTCAGATGGTGCAGTTGTCTTGGAGGACGACCCAATAACCAGATCAGGGAGCATTTCATCAAGATAGAAGCAGGAGAAGTCATTTAGAGCTGACGCAGCAGCCTCTTGGTTCTGCCCTGCCAACTCCTGCTCGTGAGTGCGGGATGCTGGCCTTTCCTCATCCGCTTCCTTTTGTCTAGATTATAAAAAAAAATAGTAAGGGCCCTTCCAATTGAGGAGGTAAGATTGAAGACTTGTGGTTTGTTTACAAACACCCTTCGATGGGAGAGGACAACAGTGTTTGTTTTGTATCAGCAATTTTAATATGGTCTATGTTTAATTGCCAAGAGTTTTAGGAAAGCACATATAGCCATTTACTGCCAATGCGGCAAACGCTGTCCGGACAGCGATTAGAAAATATATATTACTACTCAGGCAGGTAACCAGGATTTTGATTCGGGAAGGGGAGGGGGGGGGGGGGGGGGCGCTGTAGTGATCTGTGATAAGTGATTTTGCCACCAGATGGCGCAACGTGTGTTCTGTTTAGTATGCTTTGATGGTGAGTTTATCGGGTTGTCTTATCTTGTTGTTATGTGTGTTTATGCATCTATGATGTCACGTGACATATGTTAATAAAAGAGCCGCCGTCCGTGAGCGACGTCAGAGAACTACGGGACACCCAGAAGGCAACATGTCTTTGTCTCATTCTTCGTAAGCCCCGAACGCGCGGGGCCGCGGCTTCCTACCCGGCCACATCATGTGAGTGCTGTTAGCGTCCTCTCCTTTCGTACCGCCGTGTAGAGGAGATTACTACAGGCGCCCATGAAGAGAATGTTGTATGATGGGAAGGGGGAGAGGAAGCCCCTGCGAAATGGAAGATTAAGGGGAAGCCCGGGCCCCATGCCCCCCCCCCCCCCCTTCCCCTTATTACGTGCCTGTTACTACTTATAGAAAACATCGCATGGATGAAAATAACATCAATGCATCGTAATAACGACACTCCTACCTATTCATATCTAGAAAAACATCATTTGTGTTTCGAAAAGAAATCTCTATGACATCAGGTGTGAAATACACAACATAGAAGATATAACTGAATCAGTGGAAAGATGCCTATCAAGCATCGCTTTCGGGAAGTTGTAGTTTTACTCCGCTCCATGGAGCCGAGTAAAACTACAACTTATGGCAATAGGGATCTGCAGACCCCTATTGCCATACCCACTGAAACCATTCATGCTTCTCACACATGGTGTGAAAAGCACGCCTGCCTCCTTCTCATTGTTCCCGCGGTTCGCGGGAACAATGAGAAGGAGGCAGGCGTCAAAAGGTAGTGGCTTGCGGACCCCACGGGGCTTACGTCATGGCCCCTCCAAATATTACAAGCTCCTTTTCACCCACGTGGTTTCACCTTATGTTGCACCGCAGCGAAGGCTGGAAGCGCGAGCGCATAGCGTTGACAGCTGCCCTTACTGCACGAGAGCTTTTGCAGCCGAGATCTGCCCCAGAGCAAGGAGCTGGCGCTTATAGCCTTTCTTGCGGTAAAACATAAGGCGAAACAGAGTATAGTGTATGCTTTTCCTTTCCGTCTTTATCGTTTATTGATTTCAATCATATCGAATAATGAACACATATCACACTACGCTTGTGTAATTAATTATCTTCGATTTATCAACCTAACCCAGTACTTAAACCATTAATTTGTCGATAATGAATCTTCCAATATATTTTCTAAAGGAGAAGGTAAAAAGACACGGACATTGATGATGATACAGATTCCAACGCCGCCCTCGACGATTTTCTGAACATTAGAAATCAGCGGTTCTGTCTGCCATCCGGCAGGTAGCGCAACAAAACATTCAAACACTTTTTATTGTTTTCAAAATTAGCTAAGCTCGACAACTATCAAGAAGTCAAAGCAAGATCATTGTGAAAGTGACTCTAATACATCGCAATGTTTATCTCTTTTATAGAATAAATGTGATTAGATGCCAATAAATCTGTTTGATGTCCATAAAAGAAATGCGTCAAAACAGGTAAGTTTGAAGGGTTCCTGGAGCGGTATGGCTGAAAATGAAAAAAAACCATCGTACACTTCTTGGCCTACCATTGTAGTTCTAAATGTTATAAAATATTTTATTATAGTTTAATTATTTACTCAGTGGCATTTGAAGCACCGTGACTCGAGTCACAAAAAAATGCTCTTTTTGATATAGAATATCTCAACAAAACATTTTGCACAACAATAAATCTTTCTATACATATTCCCAATTATAAGTACTACATCTGTAGCTAATTTCATTACCCTCGCGCATGCTATTAAAAACATATTTGAGCTAAAAAACTATACTTCTAGGGCAATGTTGGAGAGATGAACAAAACAAAATAGTGCAAATACCGAAAAACGTATATCGTTACATTCTGCTCAATTGGAACCGTGTTTTCTTTAATGAATCTTTCATGAAATATGAACCAGCGGAGCAGGCACGTAGCCGGGATTTTGTTTCGGGGGGGCCCGCCCATGACAAAATGCTGTATGAGGGGGAGGGGGGAGAGGAGGTCCCAGCAAAATGGAAGATTTCGGAGGGGGCGCCGGGCCCCATGAGCCTCTTCTCTGGCTACGTGCCTGCAGCGGAGCAAGTGAGGGTCCGCGCCATCATATTCGCAACGCCACAAATGCTCATGAACAATATAAGCCAATACATAATATCAAATGAAAGCGGAGTGCATTGCCTTTCGAACGACATCAATCAGACAAAAACAGTATTTAAAAGAAGATAAGTAATGACCTGCCAAAAAGTACCTAAAATGCTACATTCAGTGGCACCGTGGCCTAAAAGCTTGGCCAGTTGAATCAAGCTGGCTTATGACAGGCTACCGCCTCGCCTTTCAATGAGCAGTTCAATGTAGTGTATGCAGGTAAGCTCTCGGCATTTCATAGCTGCATCTTGATTGGTGGCACGTGGACGTTTTCATACTCACCACATGTCATGGTGCAATATCATATACTTTTCAGTGATAACCTAATGAGAGCACCTGCACCGGGTCGGAATCGGTCCCCCTGCCGTAGACTCAGTAGTCGCACGCATAAGCGTAAACGCAGCAAGAAGAAGCGCTGGGAACTTAACTCACGCACGACGTCCGTTCCTAAGCCTTTTCACTCATACCCTCGGCGGTTGCATACCGTGTCAGCGGGAAATCCCCCCCAAAAAAAGCACCGGGTCGAGGGTACGTCAGTTGCACGCTGGTGTGGCGTAGCTTCCACAGTGCTGCAGCCGCCCCGCACTGCTCAACGTCCCTGCTGCGTAAGCACGTGGCTTCCTCTTGCCTCTCAGTCGCACACGCTCCCTCGTGCGAAGGAGACGCTTCACACGAAGCCACACGCTCGCGCAAGTACACATCCGAAAGCGCTCGAGTACTGCAGAGGTACGATAGCCTTGCCGGCGTACAGCCCAAAATGGTTGCCTTAGGTATATGCGTATTTTAGAATGGGGTGCAAATAAATAAATTACCAGTAAACCTTGAATTTATAAAAAAAAAAAAGAAATGCACAGTATGTGAGTGAAAACAAAAGGCTTATATATTTTTGAGAGAATAATATTTTCCAAATAAAGCTCTGCGGAGCGCAAGTTAGTCTGCTTTTTTTGCTGAGGTTGTGGTGACGTCAGAACGCCGTGCTCTGATTGACATAATGGTGGGTAGACCTCAAGGCAGCTCGCTATGAGGTCTACCACTATCCTTCAATCGGAACCAATAAGATCTCGGCGTTCTGACGTCGCCACAACTCCCGCAAAAACAGCAGACGAACTTGAGCTTCGCACACTCTGTTTGACATTATGTTCGACCGCAGCCAACGCTACAATCTGGCGGAGCCAATTGCGCCGCGCCAAAAGTGCATCGTTACGTCGCTCGTCGTTTTTGTGCGCTTTCTATCGCCGGTGAAACCAGTCACGCAGAGAAAAAAGTGTAGAATTATGCCACATTCACCGATTGGTACAGCTGGTGACAGCAAAGGCGACGAGCGCTATGACGACACACTTTTAGCGCTATCTTTTGATTGGCTCAATCGGGTCTTAGCGTTGGCTATGATCGGGTGTAATGGGAAACGGAGTGGGGATGAATTACATCAGATGTGCCGAGCCATAGTAGAGAGCCAGGGTTGGTTTCGCCGTCAAAACCTGGACGCTTGGTGGGGGGCGATATAAGGACCCCAGCTACATCGAACCCTTTCTTTGTAAGAGTATAATCGTACGACTTTCTGGCGGCCTTCGAGGATCGTTCGGCGTTGGCCTGAGATTGGTGGGGCTGGGAGTTGCGGACGTCCCCGGAGCAAGGGAGGGACGTCGTACGAACTGAGAATACTTCTTGGCAACGTTCGCGCCAGGAGGTATGTCTCCCGCCCACGCAGCGTCGGGCAAAAAGTAGACGGCCAGAGCGGTCAGCGCACCGAACAAGCTCAGCAGGCCCCAGAAGTGCTCCACGTGAGTCAGGAATCCCAGTTCTCGAAGCAGAGTTGAAGCGATAGCGCCGAGTCTGCCGAAGAAGTATACCGCGCACAAGCCCATACTGCGAACCACCGTGGGGAAGAGTTCTACGCTGTACGCGTAGAGGGCTATGACGGTCAAATCGAGGACAATCTCCGCGCTTGTGTCCACTGGGAGCGCCAGAACCAAGATTTGCTGGAAATCGGCACTCGCGGCCTTCATCCCCGCGAGCGCAGATAAACCAAGCAGCAGCGCCAGCAAGGTGACCCTCTGGCCACGACTGGTCATGGACACGTACACCAAGATGGCACCGATGACCTGGGACACGAATGCTGCGGCGACCATCCAGATGTTGACTAGATGGTGGCTGCCCCTGGGGCCGTAAAACGCGAGCATGACGACGAACCAGCACCAGAAGACGATGACGATGCCGCTTCCGAGAACGTTCGTGCACAGCATTTCCGCCACGCGGTAACCTTTGACCCGGGTCCCGACTCCGAGTTTGTAAAGGCGCCACTGCTGCTGGGCGTGGTGGATGCTGAGTCCGTTCATCTGAGCCATCCACATAATGAGGCGCTCCGCGTCTTTGAATTCGAACGTGGCCAAGAGCCAGCGCGGCGACTCGACCGTAAGGAGGAAGGTGGACAGCAGCAGGGACGTCGGCAGCATCACGACAAGTTGCGTCAGGACCCAGTCGTGGACGAAGTAACCTACAATTTTGAGATACAGCTGGGCCGCGATGGTGGCCGTCGCGATTGCGATCACGCCGTAGAGACACTGGCGCGCCGGCGTCGACAGCTCGATAAGGAGCACGAAGCTAGTGATCTGGATTGTGCTCACCGACGCAGACACCCAGAAGCGCAGCGCCACGAAATACGTGAAGGAATTCACAAAACAGATGGCCGTCCCGGATATGAGCAAGGACAGGGCGGACAGATAGATGACCGGTCTGCGACCCATCTTGTCTGACAGTTGGCCCATTATGGGCACAGCCGCCGCAGCGCCGCCCATGTAGAGAACCGACGCGACCGCAACGAGCCACTGATTCTCGCAGACGAGGTTCCAGTAGGTGACGATAGAACGGCCCTCCAGATCGTAATCCCATTCCTCACAGGGCACCTGTGTCCGGTTCACTGCGTCTATGGATATCGGAGGTTCGTAGCGAACGCAGGTGTGCCAGTCGCCGCTGGCGTCGCGAGGTACGGCGATCTTGCGCCATTCTTCCGATGTCATGTTGCCGTACTCCAGAGGCTGCTTGCACCAGTGGTTCACGGGGCGGGCCACGACGCTGAGGAGCAGGTTGTGGCTCAAGAGCACAAACGCGGAGAGCGTGGCGACGAACAGGGCCATCCGCTGGATGCGACCGTGGCCGTATACTGTCGTCGGGTCGTTGGCTGGTCCGTGGGACATCGGGTTCGCGTTCCTGGAGGTGTTCGTGGAGCTGCGATCTTCTGCCGCTTCGCGTTTCTTGGAGTCGGGACGGCCGATGATCAGGCCGGGGCCGTAAGAACTGGCGGCGGGCTTGCCGTTGGATGCCCTGTCCTTGTTGGCTTCTGGTACCTTGTCATCGTCCATCCCTCGGGCGTCTTGATGAAGCTCCTTGATGTCCGAAATGGTTGGAGTGCTGGACAAAGGTTTCCGGCTCTTTTTTCGCTTTTTCTTGATTAAGTCCGCCTGTGAATGCATTTCGGAACCAGCGCTAGTAGACAGAAGTGGCTGCTCGAGGAAGCTGTGCTGACGAGTCGTACCGTCACCGAGCTTGTCTTGGGATCACGCGCAACCGTTCTTCTTGCTCTCTCGAGCTTCCCCAACGCGCTTCGGAATTTCTGATAACGCTCAGCTAACCGCTGAACTGTGTATCATCAACACAGAGTTAATACCTCATGTTAACAACTTGATATATTTGGTTACGATTTATAACGAAAAATTAACCTGGAAATTACATATTGACCAAACTGCCATCCGTAGAGCAAAAGCCATTGGACGATTGCAACTCAAGGGGCGAGCATACGCACGGGGTTGCGCTGGACAGCATGTAGAGAAAAAAAAACCCTCCTTATACTAGAAAAAAAAAAAACCAGTTCGCTTTTGCTTGAGCCTCCTAAAATACACAGAGAACAGTCCTCTTTACCCAGGATCTCGTATTCTGCCCCTTATCACCCGATTTCACATATTAACGGTTTTTCGTATTTACATATTTTTTTTTCATTGGCTTTCTAATCCCGTAGACTAAACGACAACTTCTGACCCAAAGTTCGTCATCTCAGAGGGCCCCCACTTTAACACGTCAAATATGTGCAATCGTTAGTTCACCTTTTACAGTTTTCCCTTCAAAACTGTAAAAGGTGACGGTCCCCTCTATATTAAGTACTTTTGTGCTCTTGTGCCGACACATATAACAGCACTTAACGTAACTTGGGTACCTAGCCATATGGAGGTATTCCTGAAAATGAAGCCGCCGACTTCCTGGCAGGAGGTTCATTGGCATGTCATGTTGTCTGGGTATTCATCTACTTGACTTTGTGCTCAGAGAGCGGTTCCGCACTTACCTCATGCTTATATATAACCCAAATAAACTTCTCTATGCTATTCCTGATTACATGCATCTCAAATATTCGTAAAACGCTGATTGCTGTGAATCGCGACAATGCGAAAAAGAGTTAACACGGGTTTACGATGCAGAGTCCCTCCCAAGACTTAGATTTTATTCCCACAAAATTTATTTCTCCGCTTCACCTCTAGGTCCATATTGCAAAAGTGACGTAACTCTAGATTATTAGTTTTAATCGTGCCGTAAATTTATGCACCAGCGCCACCGCTTTTTGGCGCAGCCTTTTTCGATGCTGTGCCTTCCCATAACGTCTGAAAATTTAATTTTCTTCGGAGGAACGTACTGTGGCTGTACAAACAACGCGCTTTGCTCCCTCATACATAAATACATCACGAAAAAAAACAAAAAAAAAACGATTACCTTGCTATACTTTGTTTCACCTTGTGCTGTACCGCAGGAAAGGCCACAAGCGCGAGCTCCTTGCTCTATATGGCACACCTCGGCGGCACAAGCTCTCATGCACCAAGGGCAGCTGTCAACGCTATGAGCTCGCGCTTCTAGCCTTCGCTGCGGTACAACATAAGGTGAAACGGAGTATAGAGCCTTCCAGTCTTAAACAAACAAGTCTTTCTAAATTTCAAGCATAGATATGACACTTATTTTTCATAGACACGCCGATCCTTGGCCCATCCCCTCCTTGGGTGTGCACCAAATCTTCCATTGGCCAACAACAACATTTCGCGCGAGAAAATGAAATAAGAGAAGAACAGAAATAAATTGACAGCACAGTTCGCAACTTTCAGCGATGGCGGTACTGCGGTATAAAAATCGCGCTCCTCGGAAAAGCTCCTGGGTGACATGGCTTCACAATAAATGTGCTTGCCTAGAAGAAAATAGATAGCGCTATGGAGAATTCGGCAGCCTTAAAATGGCGCCGGCTAAATATGTTTGCCTACACCTTCTTCACGTGAAAGAATGAAGTAAAGCGGGTTTCACATGCAGCGATTCTGCCGCCGAAATCGCTGCCGCTAGCGGCGCGGTGGCACGGATCGCGAGGTTTCATCTCACATGGGAATTTTCTGCCGTTGCGATGGCCTATGTTGCTTGCAGCAAGCAGATGCGCACAGTCGATTACAGAGGCTTCTAACAAAAATTTTTATGCCTTAGTTTTCAGTTTCCCCGTTAATTTCACCTAAATAAAACAAAAAAGAAAAAAAGAAATGAATTTAAAATACTACATAAACCTTATTCTTATTTTTTTTTTCAAACTTCGTTATCGCGGAGGATAAAACCTCGGATCATCCTCGGCAGCGTCACGAGCAGCGCCTTCCTCGGATGTAAAGCCTCCAACTGATATGGTCAACCTACAGGCCGACCCAAACCTCCTGCGGCGTTGGAGTAATTAGTATTTCCGAAATGGGGTTCCATTTCAGCAGTGGTTTCATACCGGTCTTGTTGATCACTTTCACGGCCTCAGTCACCTCTTCCCATAGCTTCTATTTGGTGCGTCCCAAAGAACCAGACGCTCCGACACTTCACTGATAAGCAGTTCACTGAACTGGGCGCGATACACTTTGTCTTTCTTGGTTTGACGATTTGTGTTGTAAAAGACACGTCAATGTCGCTCAGTTCTTCTTGGTGTGCCAGTCGCCGCTGGCGTCGCGAGGTACGGCGATCTGGCGCCATTCTTCCGATGTCATGTTGGCGTACTCCAGAGGCTGCTTGCACCAGTGGTTCACGGGGCGGGCCACGACGCTGAGGAGCAGGTTGTGGTTCAGGAGCACAAATGCGGAAAGCATGGCGACGAACAGGGCCATCCGCTAGATGCGACCGTAGCCGTAGACGATCGTCAGGTCGTTGGCTGGTCCGTGGGACATCGGGTTCATGTTCTTGGCGGTGCTCGTGGAGCTGCGATCTTCTGCCGCTTCGTGTTTCTCGGACTCGGGACGTCCGATGATCAGACCGGGGGCGTAAGAACTGGCGGCGGGTTCGCCGGCGGATGCCACGTCCTTGTTGGCTTCTGGTACCTTGTCATCGTCGATCCCTCGCGCGTCTTGACGAAGCTCCATGGTGTCCGAAATGGGTAGAGTGCTTGCCAAAGGTTTCCGTCTCTTTTGTCGCTTTTTCTTGCTCGAGCTCATTTTCGGAATCAGCGCAGGTAGACAGGAGCGGCTGCTTGAGGAGGCTGTGCTGACGATGCTGACGAGTCGTCGTCACCAAGCTTGTCTTGGGATCACGCGCAACTGTTCTTTTTGCTCTCTCGCGCTTCCCGAACGTGCTTCAGAACTTCTGATGATGCTCAGCTAACCGTTGAACTGTGTATCATCAACACAAAGTTAATAGCTCGAATTAACAACTTGAAATATTTTGGTATGATTCATGACGAAAAGTTCACCTGGAAATTCCATATTGATCAAACTGTCATGCTTGAAGTTAAAGCACTAGGACGATTAACTCAAAGGGCGAGCACACGCTTGGGGTTGCGCTGGTCGGCCCTACCACTAAGTCTTACTCGTTTTGTACAATAGTGCGCACCATGCATGAATTTGTATCTATAGCGTTTGGGAGCCAACCGGCATGTGGAATAAAACCCCTTCTTATATGCGAGAGAAAAAAAACTTCGCTTGTGCTTGGGCTTCCCACAATACACAATGAGCAGTTTTCTTTACCTAGCCTTAACGGAAAAAGAGTTGAACTATATAGAAAAAGCACAGTAGCAACGTCCGCTGTACAGGGAATTCATTACTTTTTTCCTTCTATATTTTTTCTTCCTTCTATATTTTGTTTTTAATCATTTTTCTGTTCTTGCCTTTTCTCTTTTTCATATGATCCTTGTTTTTTTGTTTCACTGCCATTTGCATCGGAGTGAATGAAGATGAAGATGATGCATAATACATTTGAGTTGTCAGTCAGCGCTGCGTGAGTGTTCTTCCTGTGTATGCGTGATTTTCCTTTTTAAGTGTGTCTGATCTTGTGCGCTGTGAAGCATTATCATGAATTACCAACTCGCCCAAGCTGAAGTTCTGACCAATTTCATTTCTAGTACATCGGGCCCCTTTCTGCATCTTCATTTGTACCCCGACGTCCTTGTGACCCTCATCGCCATTAGCATCTGCCAAGCGCGGACGTTCAGTTACTGCCTCCGGGTCCATCTTCTACCTCCGGAAGTCAAGATACTGTTTGGAGGCTTTGCCCCATCAGTAGGCCACGGCAGAAGGTTGTGCAAGATTTCACAAGCTGAGTGGCACCGGCAGACAAGACTATACCGGAACAGTTTGTTCGTACAGTTATGCAACAATTTGAGTCCACCCTATGGAAAACGAGCATGGCGTGAGTACTCCAACCTCACTGACCGCACAACCGAATATCTGTGGCGACTCACTTTGAAGCATCTCAGATCCCTTACTCCTCGAAAGACACGACACCAAAGCCA